CTCATAGACATCGAGATGACGTCACCGATTTTTAAATAACTTTATTCGCTCTAGAAAAGTTTTACAAATATAAAACCTTACTAGCACTTTTCTTTACAAAGTTATAAAGAAAATAATAAAAACAAATCCTTAAATATTCTTAAACTGTCTGTTTTAAGTAGAGATTTAAAAGTGGCTGAAGAGCATCGCTGGTTCTAAGTAGAACAGCTGTAGACTTTTATTATTACAAGTTATTTTTCTATAAGAATCCTTAACATGGTGTTTAAAAAGACATCTGTAAATTGCTGCTTCTAGATGAAACCATTTTAAATGTTTGAATTCATAAAGACAGTAAGAGTAAGATTTGGTCGTCCTGTTTGAAACACAGTGAATTTCTTTAAAGCAGAACAGAATCAGATCGAATCCTTTTCAACCCATCACTGTGGTTACAGTGTTACTTGTACACTGCCATTAATTATAAAATGTCAGTGTAGTTGGCTGCAGTGAGATAGTGTACTGTACTCATTCACATCTGCCTCAGTTCAATCGTACAACTCAAAAGTTAGAGTTCCTGTGAACAATAAGAATAATCATAGCAAACACAATAACTTTTAGGTGTCACAGAGTGTTAATCTGACATACAATGAAAGAGCTGTGATTATGTAATGGTTGTTTGTCACCCTGTTTCACACTCACAAATCCTTCTACAATTAGATTAAATGCACCTTTAATGATCCTCGTGGGGAAATGAGGATAATAGGATCCAGTAGAGAAAAATAGGATCTCAATATGGTCGCAAGCAGCAGCTGGTGGGAACAGCGGATTAATTCACTGTGGAAGTGCCATATTTAAGTCTAGTCTGATTTCATTTCAACGTAAAAAACTTGCTTAAAGTAGTTAGTTTATGATATATGACAGACACAGTTTAAACACTTATAAAAATACCTAAATGACAGTCTCATGCTGGCTTTTCACAGTATCTGAGGTGTGAGAGAGGTCAGGAGGTCGTAGCACAGACAGATAGAGGCTGCTGAGTGCTGAAGGTAATACAGACTGTAAAACGTTGTCACCTTCACGCTCCGACCTTCCTCTGTGTTTAAATTCTCCTGCTTCAACCTGCCGTTGCTGTCCTTTTGGAGGCCACAAATCCCAATGATGTGATGAATGGGTTGAACCTGATGTCTTATGTAACGGATGAGGAAAGTGCAAACATGACATAAGCGTGGAGGAAATTCTGTCTTTGTGAGATTTAAGGCTTTTTAGCTGTGTAGGGCAGTGTGGTCAGTATGATGCAGATAGAGGTAAATGGTTTCTTTAAGATTATTTTACAGCTGTTTTATGTGTTAGTAGACGTTTGAAATCCAAATTGTTGTAAATTGAAGTCTTAGTAAACTGCTGGGGCAAAGCGGCCTGAACTGACTAGAGATGAGGTGATGTTGAGGTAAATAAGAGATGAATTTGGTGTTTACTGTTATATGAATATTGTTTAAATCTAAAGATAGAAACTTAATTCTTTCCCACAAACAAAAATTACAAAAAGTTAGTTTAGATGATTTCTGTTCTGGAAACATTCTGGATACATACATGTTAAACCTGTGTGTTAATAATAAGACATAGTCAGTATTTAGTTTGGGTGAACTTAATGTCTCTTTTTGTCTCTTTTAGCGGACGAAGTCTCAGAATTATCGGCGCCAGTCCGCCCCGTCTCTGGTCATCACCAAGGCTCTCACCAGGTCCAAGACCCTCTCCAGGTACAGTGGAAAACATTTAATAACATAAATGTGTGCTGTGGTTTCCAGTGAATTTACAGCCGCATTTTGTATTTAGCTCTTTAGCTTACTTGCATATAGTAGAGGTCTAGCTTACTACGCCCCCGCTGGAAACTACCAAAACTGCAACTGCGCTGATTATTTCTCACCTCAAATGTTTTCAGAAACACGTTTCAGTGAAATATTTTTATAATGTAACAAAAAAAGTTTCCAAATGTGCTGCCATGTTGATGGTGTAGTAGCCTTTTGTTGGTCAATATGACTACAAGTGTCCTGGTTAACTGACATAGTGTCCCTGTCTGGATGTTTCTGTGGTGGGACTTCTCTCTATATGATGTCGTGGAGTAGCTAATGTAAATCCCAATCCGTCCCAACAGTTTTCCCTTAAAAACTGAACATTGCACGATTTCAGTACATCCAGTAGAATACTTAACTTCTTTTCCCATGTCCTCTCTTGTTTATTACCCGATCTTCCCTTAAATGCATACCACATAATAGACTTTATTGTCCCAGTGGGAGATTTGTTTTTGCATGCACATAATGCACTCACACCAATGAGTCTGGATCTATGTAACCGTGTCAGCAGGACAGTTTGTTCAGTGTTGCAATGACAGAAGGGACAAAACTCCCGCCAAGGGAGCTCTTCTCCGTTTTAAAACTCCTGTATCTAAGAGAGGTGCAAACACACCACTTCGACTGTAACACAGAGCAGAAAACAGAATGATCAGCTGAGGGATATCAGGCGTTTTCATCCCAGTTCATGTTGTCAGTCTCCCTGCAGCTGATAGTTCACCACAGACACCAGCAGCAGCGCTCAACAGGGGTGAGTAGGTCAGTGCTAACATCCTCAGAAACAGTCATACCTCACCCAGTTCTCTTACACAGAGGTCACTGAGGTCAGGCCACACTCACACACACACGTGCACACTCACA